ACACATGAGGGAAGAGAGCAGTAAAACTGTATGAGCTGGGAAACAAACAAACTTTGGCTAAAAGTTCAGCTAAAATGTCTCAGGGATCTAGTTTGTCTGATAAAATCAAACCCCAAAAGTATTTACAAGATCAGGGCAGTTAGGTGTTGGTGTTATGTTATACTGTCTTGCATTGTAGATTAAATTCACATATCTAACATAATATCTTTCACTACACCCTCCAGTCTTCAATTGCTCTAAACTTTCACACTAAACTGTGGGAATAGTACTTTTACTTTGCAAAAAGTATCACTGTCAATACGTTTCCACTAAAACCAATCCCTTCCTTTTGTCTAATTCTTGACCTATCCCTGAAACTACTGAATGTACTAAATAAAACCAAACAGCACGTTTTTTCTAGTAAGCCAAAGTAACATGTATTGTCCATTCATCACACAGCTCTGGTAGTTCTACAGGTGTAGTTCTACAGGTGTATGTTTTGTGAGCACCCGAGGGGTGTAGGGATGGGAAAGGCCGGCTTTTGGCCCCACCTGGTGGCTAAACAACTCATTACAAGGTGTTGCATCTCTCCACAGAGACATAATTGACTGCAGCTGCACATCTTGTACAGCTGGCTGCAATTAGGGCGGCAGAACATGGGGATGCAGTGGCATTCAGAGAGGGAGAGAGAGAGCCGTGAGGAGGACACACCAAACCTTTGTCGCAAATATTGGACCAGTCAGCACACAATGCCGAAAGTTTGAAGCTCTCTCTGCCCTGGGGTAAAATATGATCTTCCCCAGTGACTTAAGTTCACGTTCAGTTACTGACATAAAGGGCCAGTTGTTGATTTTGAGTATTGGCCTTATTTCTTTGTGAGAACATTCTTTCGGGACATGAAGATTCCCCAAGCTACCTGTGAACCCTTTTTTTAGTCAATAAATCCCCTTTGAGTGCTGAACTGCCTTGTCTGTCTCTTGGTTTTGCACTACCACACATGTGACACACTCCTCCACCTATGGAGTTGTTACACTGGTGGAGAATGCGGGCACGTGAGCATCCCCGTGTGGTAGTGCAACCTGAGACAACCAGTTAGACAAGTTATGGTGCCCTGTAGGCTGGGAGGACGAGTTTTCTGAAGTCGGTTTTTGCAAGAGAAAATGCTGCTGGCAGAAGAGTGGATGTCAAGTCCCTCAACCTTGAAGTGGTTGGTGACGGCGGGGACTAAGCACTCACAAGGGAGCACCGAAGAGCTCTGAAGGTATTCCTGAGTTTCTCACCAGCCATAAAGAACTCTTTCCATCAGGGGCTTCTTGTAGATACAGAAATCACTGCAGCTATCAGACTGAACAGTGCTCAGCCAGACATAAGTACTGCCACCTGTGGCCGGAGCAAAGAAGTGCCCGCTGATACCTTAAGGGGGAAGGCAATGGAAGAAGTGAGCAGGTGCCTGTTAGCAGACACCCAGGGGCAGCAGGGGCACGAGGCCCCACTACTAGATGCTGACCAGGCCAAGGAAGCCTTCAAGAGGCTGTTTGAAGAAGAAAGGGCCAGCAAAGAGGCCCTGAAGGAGCGGCTGGGGTGCCTGTGCGCCACCCTACAAGAAGAGCGTCATGGCCTCAGTAAACGGCTCCATGAGAAGTCAAGGCAGCTGGCCACCGTGCAAGAGGAGACGTTCAGCGACAAGAAGAGGGTAAACCGGCTGACAAGTCAACTGAAAGAGAAGTCAAGTATGGTCCTTAGCCTGCAGGAGAAGTGCAGTGACCAAAAGGAAGAGGTGAGTATGACGAAGGCTCACACACAGAAATGTAATCTGGAGCTTCAGAAGGTAAATACTAAGTTCCAGGATGTTGTAGTGACTTGGGAAGAAGAGGTCACTGTTCTGAATCGAGATAACATTTATCTTAAAGAGGCAGTTCACACTGCCAATGAGCAAGCCGAAAAGCTCAAGGAAAGTAATGCTCGGCTCACAGAGGAAAAGCTCAGGTGAGAAGAATTAGAGGCTGGAATGCTGCAGCTGAAGAGGGACCTGGAGGTCTCTGAGGTAGCCTGCGAGTGTGCAGAAAAGGAGCGTAGAGAGCAGGTAACCAGCGCCTAGAATTTAGAGGTCTTCCGGCAGAGGGCAGAGCTGCAAGGGGAAGCCCAGGCTGGGAAGTTGTCCCTGTTGGAAGAAAAGCTGCACTCCAGTTCAAAAGGAACAGGGGTTTCCAGAAGGGTGCTGGACAAGCAGTCAGAGGAGGAACAGCAGAAGTCAAGTAAACGTGCCCAGGTAATTGAGAAGCAATGAATAGGAACAATGACCCACCTCAAAAATGTGCAGGCCTGTCTGGAAGAGGAGCAGGCAGCAAGAAGGCTTGAGCAGGAGGCAGCGAAGAGCCTCATAAGTGAATTGAAATAGATGGCAAAGAAGTCAGCGATGGAAGCCAAGCAGAGAGTGGTGGCATTGATGGAGGAGAAGATGTCCCTGGCAGGTAAAGCCTCTGAATTGCAATCACAAGTGGAAAACTGGAAAAGTGAGACTGAAAACCTGGAAACAGAAAAGCGTTGTGTCTGAAGACTGAAGTAAGTCATCTTGAGGGTCAGCTTTCCGAAGCAACCAGCAACCACTGCAGCACTGCAAGCAGTCTGGTGAAGCTTCAGCAGGACTTCCAGCAGGTAAAAGCACAGTTGGAAGAAAAATGCAAGGAGGTTCATAAAATGCAGGATGTCGTTCACAGGCTGGAGACATCTGATGTGGCCTGGAGGGCCAAGTGGGAGCAGGTCTCCTTGTCGCTCAAAGAGGAGCAGGAGAGGCTACGTAGCCTTGAGGTGCAACTGCGTGAAGAGCAGCAACACAGCCATCTGCTGAGGCAAGTCCTAGGACTCAGGAGGAGACTGAGCTCTGGTGGGATCAAACCCCGCTCTCCGTTTCAGGGGACATGATGTTTGCTCCTTCCTGTGAGTTGTCTATCCGCACCACTGAACAGCCCAGGCCCTTGACCGAAGAGCAAACAGCCTGTGTTTCAAGAACCCATGGCCAGAAAAGGTTAAAGGAACCGGACCGGAGCATGGTTCTACAGAGGGTTCCCAGGACAACAAGAATGTCAGTCCAAACACATTCCACTGATGACTCTCCCACTTTGATTTCCCCAGAAGAGGTGTCAAGCTCCCCTGATGGTGAAGTTGTGACCGGGAGATGGCGGTCCAAAGGATCCTGCAGAGACCAGTGGAAGTTCCAGTGCTCCCAAATTGAAGACTGGTGGGGAGACTCCATCGGGGACTGGGGTGAACCCATAGAAGGGCGCAACCAGCCAAGAGGGAAGCAGCCCAATACTCTGGTGAGTGAAGTTGCATCATGAGTTAAGAGGTCTGAAAGGGAGTTGGATTGTCATTCAGAAGTGGAGAGGTTTAAAGAGTCTGAAGTGTCTAACCATGGTTGATGTGAGTCTCTTCTCCAAAACCCAGAAGACAGAACTGCCAGCAGGTGGAGCACTTGCACAGAAGGCGGTGAGAGAAAGAACCCAACAGGGCAGTTGAGGCAACTGGCTCACCCTCAGGTCAAACTTCTCAGACGACACAGATGAAAAAGGCACAGCCAGAGAAGGAGAATCCCCTTTAAAGACAGGAGGAGGCCAAGGAGGCAGTGGAGCTCTGCCAGTCATCCACCCAGTCAAACGGGAATGGAAGAGCTACAAGGCATGGGTAAGCCTGACAAACTATGTTACTGTGCCTCCCCAGGAGTGGTGGAGAGTTGGAGAGTGGGCCTGGGAGTCAGAGGGCCTCCCATGGTCAGGCAAGTTCATTGAGACAGTTGATGGTGATATGGTAACCCAATACTTTGGCAAGGTCTTGGTTACCAGGGGGCCTTAGGGAGAGTCTTCCAACTCCACAGAAACTGGTCAACCACCATCAGATACACCAGCAGGGGACAGCGAGCCCCAGTCCCATGAGGTAAAGGTCCAAGACGGCACTATGGTGGTGAGTGTGACCAATGAAAGTGACAATGAAAAGGGATGTTCAGAAATTGAGAAACCTCAAACTCCTGGCATGGACCTTCAATGTCCTTTGACCAGAGCGAAGGCAGGGGGCATGCCGTCGGGGTGCTCTATTCTGAAAATGTTGAAGAAGCATGGTTTCACAAGAAGGACTGGAGGTGACCAAAAGAAAGGCTCTGTGAAAGAAAAGGGGCTTGAGGTAAAACTGCTGTAAAACTAAGATTTTTGAACATTTCTGTGATGATAACCCGAGACTTTGCAGAAACCCTGAGGCCCAGGTGGAAGAAAGCTTAAGGGGGACACTGTGTTGTCATTCAAAGGAGAACAGGAAGGCTGGTGAGGAGGCACAGACGCATGGAGGTGCGAACCTTCCCCCTCTCAATAACCAGTTATCGTGTGTGCCCCAGAAGGTGGCCGAGAACCAGACCCAGGAAGATGGTGAACCATGGAGATACCGAACACCAACCTCTGGTGTATGACCCTGGAGGTCCAGGGGTGTACCTCCTTGGATTAGATGCCTGGTCAAGCGGAGACGCTATCGGGGCATTGGCCGGTACAAACCACGGGTTGAAGCAGGGGTGGGAGGTGTGTGAGCACCCGAGGTGTGTAGGGGTGGGAAAGGCTTGCTTGGTGGCTAAATAACTCATTACAAGGTGTGGCATCTCTCCACAGAGACTTAAGAGACTCCACGGAGACTGCAGCTGCACATCTTGTACAACTGGCTGCAATTAGGGCGGCAGAACATGGGGAGGCAGTGGCATTCAGAGAGGGAGAGCGAGCCGTGAGGAGGACACGCCGAACCATTGGGCCAGTCAGCACCCAATGGCAATGGTTTGGAGCGCTCTCTGCCCTGGGGTAAAATAAATCACTGGGGATGATAATACGTTTACATTCAGTTATTGCCATAAAGGGCCAGTTGTTGATTTTGAGTATTGGCCTTATTTATTTTTTTACCAGTTAATAAATCCCCTTTGGGTGCTGAATTGTCTCTTGGTTTTGCACTACCACACGTGACACACTCCTCCACCTACGGAGTTGTTACAGTTTAAAGGTGTTCAGACAGGTAAGCTCTGGTAGTTCTAGAGGTGTTCAGACAAGTAAGCTCCTGTAGTTTTAAAAGGTGTTCAGACAGGTAAGCTCCAATAGTTCTACAGGTGTACAGAGTTAAGCGCTGATACTTTTAAAGGTGTTCAGACAGGTAAACTCTGGTAGTTTTAAAGGTGTACAGACAGGTAAGCTCAGATAGTTCTACAGGTGTACAGCAGGCTTGGTCCAAGTGGCCACCGCTGGCGCCGTCAAGTCATCATGCTGCTCAAAACATAACGGGATAGGAAACAGTTCAGTTTCAGCAATGTCAACATTTCTGGGCTAAATTTGATCTGAATTTCTTGTCACAGTCATGGGCAAATATTGAGACATGCCTCCACCTGGTTGTCTCTAGGAGGACATTGTTTTGTTGAGATTGTGGGCTGAATCCTGACATAACAATATTTTTTGGGGAAAACATCACCTTTGACTATATGGGGTATTTGCACAATTGTTCAAATATGCAGTAGGATTCTGTCTTAGTGGAGAAAATGTGTGATGAGGTTTGATGAGGAAGGGTTAGAGAATTACCTCAACTATCTGTGGTGGGTACGCATGAAGATCTGCGTGAGCGGTTACACATGTTCTTCTGTAAAACACAGAGGCAAAACACAAAGTTAAGTCAATAATAATAAAATACAAAAACGTCTAAAACACAGCAAACCAATTAGTAGAACTACACCACTACATAATATGGTAGTAATAGCATAACAGCTGTGATACCATACTATCTTCTCTATAAGAAGTTAGTGGGTGTCCTTTACCTTTTCATGAAGACGGTGATGGAGGACTGCATCAGAGAGCCAAGGATGTCTCAACGCTTCAGAGGCACCTATCCTCCAACTGCAGAAAAACACACACAAACACACAGTGAGATACAGTGAGGGAAAAAAGTATTTGATCCCCTGCTGATTTTGTACGTTTGCCCACTGACAAAGAAATGATCAGTCTATAATTTTAAGGGTAGGTTTATTTGAACAGTGAGAGACAGAATAAAAACAAAAAAATCCAGAAAAAAGCATGTCAAAAATGTTATAAATTGATTTGCATTTTAATGAGGGAAATATGTATTTGACCCCCTCTCAATCAGAAAGATTTCTGGCTCCCATGTGTCTTTTATACAGGTAGCGAGCTGAGATTAGGAGCACACTCTTAAAGGGAGTGCTCCTAATCTCAGCTTGTTACCTGTATAAAAGACACCTGTCCACAGAAGCAATCAATCAGATTCCAAACTCTCCACCATGGCCAAGACTAAAGAGCTCTCCAGGGATGTCAGGGACATGAATGTAGACATACACAAGGCTGGAATGGACTACAAGACCATCGCCAAGCAGCTTTGTGAGAAGGTGACAGTTGGTGCGATTATTCGCAAATGGAAGAAACACAAAATAACTGTCAATCTCCCTCGGCCTGGGGCTCCATGCAAGATACAGAGGATAGCCCTATTTGGTAAAAGACCCACTCCATATTATGGCAAGAACAGCTCAAATAAGCAAAGAGAAATGACAGTCCATCATTACTTTAAGACATGAAGGTCAGTCAATACGGAAAAATTCAAGAACTTTGAACGTTTCTTCAAGTGCAGTCGCAAAAACCATCAAGCGCTATGATGAAACTGGCTCTCATGAGGACCGCCACAGGAATGGAAGACCCAGAGTTACCTCTGCTGCAGAGGATAAGTTCATTAGAGTTACCAGCCTCAGAAATTGCAGTCCAAATAAATGCTTCACAGAGTTCAAATAACATACACATCTCAACATCAACTGTTCAGAAGAGACTGTGTGAATCAGGCCTTCATGGTCGAATTGCTGCAAAGAAACCACTTCTAAAGGACACCAATAAGAAGAAGAGACTTGCTTGGGCCAAGAAACACAAGGAATGGACATTAGACCGGTGGAAATGTGTCCTTTGGTCTTGAGTCCAAATTGGAGATTTTTGGTTCCAACCGCTGTGTCTTTGTGAGACAATGTAGAAAATAGTAAAAATAAAGAAAAACCTTTGAATGAGTAGGTGTGTCCAAACTTTTGACTGGTACTGTACGTACAAACAGATGTAAAACGTATAGAACAAAAATATATTGCAATATATTGCAAAATATACAGTATACATTGTGCAATATATTGTGAAATCAAGCAGATGTACGATACCTTTTATTGATGATGAGGAGTTTGGAGATGAAGTCTTTGGCCTCCTCTGAGATGTCTGTAAATTCTGCCTCTTCAAAGTTCCATTGGCAGGCCAGAATGTTATTCAGAGTCTCATTGTCATCATCACCTAGGAAGGGACACAGACCGCTTAGCCTGTGGAAGAAGAGGAAGAATCTTTATTGTGTGTGTGTGTGTGTGTGTGTGTGTGTGTGTGTGTGTGTGTGTGTGTGTGTGTGTGTGTGTGTGTGTGTGTGTGTGTGTGTGTGTGTGTGTGTGTACTTACAACATATATGTAATGACTCCCAGACTCCACATGTCTGTGTTAAATGACACAAAGTCGTAGTTGACAACTTCTGGGGCCAGGAACTCTGGGGTGCCGAAATTTACTCGTAACTTCTCTCTGGGTTTGTATCTAGGGGGAATACATGTTTATTTTTATTGGGAATCTATCAATACAAATACAATATTTTAATTCTGCATGCAGCGATACATCATATACAGTTGAAGTCAGAAGTTTATATACACTTAGGTTGAAGTCATTAAAACTCATTTTTCAACCACTCCACACATTTCTTGTTAACAAACTATAGTTTTGGCAAGTCAGTTAGGACATCTACTTTGTGCATGACACAAGTAATTTTTCCAACAATTGTTTACAGACAGATTATTTCACTTATAATTCACTGTATCACAATTCCAGTGGGTCAGAAGTTTACATACACTAAGTTGACTGTGCCTTTAAACAGCTTGGAATTTTTCCAGAAAATGATGTCATGGCTTTAGAAGCTTCTGATTAGGGGCTAATTTACATCATTTGAGTCAATTGGAGATGTACCTGTGGATGTATTTCAAGGCCTACCTTCAAACTCAGTGCCTCTTTGCTTGACATCATGGGAAAATCAAAAGAAATCAACCAAGACCTCAGAAAAGAAATTGTAGACCTCCACAAGTCTGGTTCATCCTTGGGAGTAATTTCCAAATGCCTGAAGGTACCACGTTCATCTGTACAAACAATAGTACGCAAGTATAAACACCATGGGACCACGCAGCCGTCATACCGCTCAGGAAGGAGACGTGTTCTGTCTCCTAGAGATGAATGTTCTTTGGTGTGAAAAGTGCAAATCAATTCCAGAACAACAGCAAAGGACCTTGTGAAGATGCTGGAGGAAACAGGTACAAAAGTATCTATATCCACAGTAAAACACGTCCTATATCGACATAACCTGAAAGGCCACTCAGCAAGGAAGAAGCCACTGCTCCAAAACCGCCATAAAAAAGCCAGACTACGGTTTGCAACTGCACATGGGGACAAAGATCGTACTTTTTGGAGAAATGTCCTCTGGTCTGATGAAACAAAAATAGAACTGTTTGGCCATAATGACCATCGTTATGTTTGGAGGAAAAAGGGGGGGGCTTGCAAGCCGAAGAACACCATCCCAACCGTGAAGCACGGGGGTGGCAGCATCATTTTGTGGGGGTGCTTTGCTGCAGGAGGGACTGGTGCACTTCACAAAATAGATGGCATCATGAGGAAGGAAAATTATGTGGATATATTGAAGCAACATCTCAAGACATCAGTCAAGAAGTTAAAGCTTGGTTGCAAATGGGTCTTCCAAATGGACAATGACCCCAAGCATACTTCCAAAGTTTTGGCAAAATGGCTTAAGGACAACAAAGTCAAGGTATTGGAGTGGCCATCACAAAGCCCTGACCTCAATCCTATAGAAAATGTGTGGGCAGAACTGAAAAAGCGTGTGCGACTCAGTTACACCATCTCTGTCAGGAGGAATGGGCCAAAATTCACCCAACTTATTGTGGGAAGCTTGTGGAAGGCTACCCAAAATGTTTGACCCAAGTTAAACAATTTAAAGGCAATGCTACCAAATACTAATTGAGTGTATGTAAACTTCTGACCCACTGGGAATGTGATGAAAGAAATAAAAGCTTAAATAAATCATTCTCTCTATTATTATTCTGACATTTCACATTCTTAAAATAAAGTGGTGATCCTAACTGACCTAACACAGGGAATATTTACTAGGATTAAATGTCAGGAATTGTGAAAAACAGAGTTTAAATGTATTTGGCTAAGGTGTATGTAAACTTCCGACTTCAACTGTATGTTATACAATTATGCAAATTAAAATGAGCGATTCATGTGAATATGAAACCTACTTTCTGGCAAGTCCAAAGTCGATGATCTTGATTTTATTTGTGACTCTGCTCACACATAGAATATTCTCTGGCTGAAAAACACAACAAAAAAAAGACATAATTCAAGGTGAAACAATAGCAAGACACAAGTATAATGATAATCATTGTTACCTGTTGTGTACAATCTGACATGCTATCAATAACATCAGTGGCTATGGACAACAATTAACTCTGGCACATTAACACTGATCTGAACACTAGTGTGGTAGTCTACCTTGAGGTCCAGATGGAGGATGTACATCTTGTGCATGTGCTGCAGGCCCTCACAGATCTGCCTGATGAACAGCACCGTGTCCAACTCCATCAGGGTGTAGTTCTCATCGATGATCCTGTCAAAGAGCTCCCCTCCATCCACACTGCAATCACACACACAAAAACACATTAGGATGCTGCAGAAACTTAAAAAGCAAATTGGCCAAAAACATGACTTGAGCTTTTGGTTGCTAGGAAGTAAAGCCTGTATGTACCATGGTCTGTATCAGTACACTCAAAATGCTGCTGTACCTTCCTGAACACACTCACAATAATTTAATGTCAAACAAGCTTCCTCAAAATCCACCGACTTAAAGATACTAGTGCACTGACCTATCGTGTATTCTCTATCTACAGTGTCAACATGGCATAAAACATTTTTAAGCTTAAAGATGTGGGTTGAGAAAACATTGCGGGAAGGAACAGACAACCATAGACATACACTACATTAACAAAAGTATGTGGACACCTGCTCGTCGAACATCTCATTCCAAAATCATGGGCATTAATATGGAGTTGATCCGCCCTTTGCTGCTATAACAGCCTCCACTCTTTTGGGAAGGCTTTCCACTAGATGTTGGAACATTGCTGCGGGGACTTGCTTCCATTCAGCCACAAGAGCACTGATATTGGGCGATTAGGCCCGCAGTCGGCGTTCCAACTCATCCCAAAGGTGTTCGATGGGGTTGAGGTCTGGGCTCTGTGCAGGCCAGTCAAGTTCTTCCACACTGATCTCAACAAACCATTTCTGTATGGACCTCGCTTTGTGAACGGGGGCATTGTCATGCTGAAACAGGAAAGGGTCTTCCCCAAACTTTTTCCACAAAGTTGGAAGCACAGAAACGTCTAGAATGTCATTTTATGCTGTAGCGTTAAGGTTATTCCTCCTCCACCAAATGTTACAGTTGGCACTATGCATTGGGGTAGGTAGCGTTCTCCTGGCATCCGCCAAACCCAGATTTGTCAGTCAGACTGCGAGATGGTGAAGCATGATTCATCACTCCAGAGAACGCATTTCCACTGCTCCAGAGTCCAATGGCGGCGAGCTTTACACCACTGCAGACAGTTGGCATTGCGCATGGTGCTCTTAGGCTTGTGTGTGGCTGCTCGGCCATGGAAACCCATTTCATGAAGCTCCTGATGAACAGTTCTTTTGTTGACGTTGCTTCCAGAGGCAGTTTGGAACTCAGTAGTGAGTGTTGCAACCGAGGACAGACGATTTCAGCACTCAGCGGTCCCGTTCTGTGAGCTTGTGTGGCCTACCACTTCGTGGCTGAGCCGTTGTTGCTCCTAGACGTTTCCACTTCACAATAACAGCACATACAGTTGACCGGGGCAGTTCTAGCAGGGCAAACATGTGAAGAACTGACTTGTTGGAAAGGTGGCCTCCTATGACGGTGCCATGTTGAAAGCTCTTCAGTAAGGTCATTCTACTGCCAATGTTTGTCTATGGAGATCTCATGGCTGTGTGCTCAATTTTATACACCTGTCAGCAACGGGTGTGGCTGAAATACTCCAATCCACTAATTTGACGGGATGTCCGCATACTTTTGTATATATAGTGTACAATGTAATGCTGATATGTTTTATTTAGTTCTGTGGAGGGAACGTACTATTCCAGCACCAGGATGATGTCGTTCCTGGACTCGTAGGCGGCGTAGAGCTGGATCAGGTTGGCGTGGTCCAGCTGGTTCATGACCGTGATCTCATTCTTCACCACCTCCTACATGCCAAACACACACCAACCACACAATGAGAGGTGTCAGATGTTTGCTTGCAGCTAGCAGGCAACGTACGGCTCCTCTTTTCTGGGTCAAATGTTTTATTAACCAGAAAATGAGGAAGAAACATATTCCCCATCCATCCGCTTCTGTAGAGTGAAAAGGTTTTTAGAGTGTTATGTTCAGATGTCTAATTCCACATTTTGGATTTAAAAAACTACAGTAGGTTCGAACTCTAAAAGTAGTTCAAAACGACTTAATTTTTCAAGGAAGCTGCAAGGTGTGTAGAGGTTTTTACATAGCCTTTGAAGAAAAATTGTAAAACCTTAACAAGTGTAGTGTTGTCCGTTTAAATTCCAAGTACATTTACTCATTAAGATTTTGTACCTTCTCTTTCTGACTCCGGGCTTTGATGATCTTGGCAGCCAGGGTGAGACCCGAGGAGTTTTCCATGCATTTGTGCACCTGGCCAAAACGACCCCTAAGAGAGAGACGGAAAAATAATTAAGGTGTCTTCAGTTCCAAGTTTCTGAGTTACACCTGTCTGTATCGTTTTCTTATTTATAACGTAACCTTACTCCCTCTACCTGTAAGTCACAAATCCTAGAATGTTACTCATCCAGATAATACGTCCCCTGAATGGAGGGGGATCTCAGTCAGAACTTGAACTACTTGAACTATCAGAACTATTTCATCAGTATGTCCTCGGATACAAAATCAGTTATCTTCCAATACAGGAAAGTAATATCATTTTGTGAAGATATTGTATTGTTAATTTCTCCTTTATTTCATTAAATGAGAGTAAGGGGCCTCTCTTTGAAGATTTGGATTAACACTTAGCGATTAGCTCCCAGTTGACAGTGGGGGTATGGTTTCACATACCCCGAAGGCTTTCAGTAAAAATAACTGCCCTGACTCTGGAGTTATGAACCAGGGGAGAGGAGAAGAGAGGAGTGGAGGGGAGGGTTACGCAACTCAACATTGTTAAGGACCTCTGTTCCTCTCTCTCTATCTATGATCTAGGTCAGATATGATTTGTTCCATGGGTTCGTTTCCAAAAGACTTTATGGAGAATCGACTAATTGACAAATGTATAATAACTCAGTACGATGAAGAACAGAGTTCGATGTAGAGGAGTCGTTGATGGCCTTTGCTCTCTGGGGAGCGATTGGCCTAAGCAGGCACTATTTTACGTTACTCTTTGTAACCTCACAGTAATAAATAATACTGTTATTGCGGATGGATACAATGGTTCTTGAATTTGAAGTTAAACAGTTGAAAAGTCATTTGAACTTTACCTTGTGGTTCAAATCATCATGTATCGCTAGGAACAGGATAGGAACACTTACCCTCCTAGAATCTCTGCTCTGTTGATGGTGTAGAAGTTGCTGATCTGGTTCGGTTTGGCCGACACTATCCGATGGTTGAATGGAGCCGGAGGAGGAGGGCTTTTATCTTAAGGGAGATGTGATAAAAAATGATTACATTTTTAACCATTTAACCAGGGAAGTCACATTAAGATTTACATCAATTTTTCAAGTGAGCCCTGGCAAACAGTAGCATGGAGGGGAAATAGAAGCTGTATTGTTAATCAGTTAGCATGTGGCTCTAGTAATGGTACCTCATAATCAAATTATCACCCTGTGCTAACTAACACACTGTGGTAAACATGAGAAACAAGATACAATGGTGGTTATGCAAACTACAGTACTCTCGTACTTTGTTACTCCTAGAAAACATGTTTTTATACCCTAATTCAATAAGGTTATGAATATTTTCTACAAAAAGATAAAGTAATTGCCACCATATTAGCAATCTATTGGACTTCATATTAGGCCTGAATCCTAATATCTGTTTGCGTAACTCCAGTTTTCCACTGAGATTAATGTGTGATTTATGGAATCGTCGAGTTGAGCTTGCACATTTCAAGTTCCTCCCTCAGTACGTATCACCTTTCCCCCAGACTTAAAGCCACAGTACCCCATAAAGATGCTGGTCCTCACCAATGAAGAACTGTTCCCCAGTAGACTGCCTGACTTCTGTAGACTGATCCGGCTTCTTCTCTTTCCCCAACCTCTCCTTCAGCTCCACACGGATATCCACCCCGTCTGCCTTGAAGACGCCCCATCCCTCATTCTCATCCTCTGGCCTTTCTCCATCCTCTTCCTCCTGCTGCCTCTCCCCCTCCTCCTTCTCCCCCTCCCTCTCATCCTCCTCTCCTGCTCCTCCCTCCACCCGACTCTTCTTGTGGTCCTCCACCCCCAGGTCTTCCTCTGTCACCCAACGCTTACTGCTGGTGCTGCCCTCTTCCATCTGGTCCTGTTCTGCTGCCTCCAGAGACTGAGAGGAGGCACTTTTGTTGTGGACTTCACAGCTGGAACAGACAGACATGTTTTAGAAATTAGAGAAATGTGGAGTGTGTGTATGTGAAAGAGAGATGTCACAGAGTGAATGGTACTGAAGTAGAGAGAGAAATAGAGAGAGAGAGTGAGAGGGACAGAGAGTGAGAGACAGAGAAAGAAATACAAAATAAAATAAATAGGAAGGGATTGAGGAGGGTAGAAGGGATACTCTACCTCTCGGGAATGGAGCCAGTCTCTCCTGGAGCTTCAGGGGAGGGTGGGAGAGGAGGGAGATCCTTTACTGACATATCAGCAGCTTCTGATGGGCCTGCACTGTCCTCCTCATGTTTGTTCCCCTCTCTCTCCTCTGCTCCTCTAACCTCCTCAGGCTGCTCAGTGATTTTCAACAGCTTCTCCTCTCGCTCCTCTTCCTTGAACTTGGATTCACTGAGGTGGTCTTCCTTCTCTTGCTTCTTTACGGCCTCCTCCTCCTTCCTCTCCTCCACTTTTAGTCCATCTCCTGCTGCCTCCCTCTCCTCCTCAGACAATGACTCCTCTTCGGTCACGGGGGCCTTGGGGCCCTCGAGGATCAAGTCCAGCTGGTTCGGGCTGAGGGACTCGGTCTGCGATGACCCCAACCCCTCTGAGGCCCCTCCAGATCCAGCCTCCAGGTCCAGGAGGCCATCAGGGGTAAGCTGCTGCTGCTGCTGCTGGTGACTTGATGATGATGATCTCTCTGCATTCTCCCTGTTGAGCTTCTGAACCTCATTCAGCAGCAACGCCTGCTTCCTCAGGGAGATGGTGTCTGCTTACGAACAAACAGAACGGCCAAGGGGATACAGTTATAATTAATTCAACCACCTGCATGATTTTCACTTTGGTAACTTTAAATCAGATGATTGCACAATATCTCAGAATGTCAACACACTCCTAGTATCCTCCTAAGATGATGGCAGGTGGTTGTCTGAAGTGTCAGTCTGATCTGTTTTATTCTCTTTGATGTTTCGGTGTCACTTGTTAGTAGAATACTGTTGTTTACGTCTGACAGGAAGACTGTTGTGACTAGCCGGTTGGTTCCCTTTCCTGTGGCTCCAAGATAGTATCATTCAAAGAAGTCTATTTTCCTCTCCCGCTCTCTAAGATTTCGGAACACATGTGTTGTTTACATCTCACATGTTACATGTTGTGAGTGCTGCTGTGTGTGAGTTAGTTTGTTTTGACTGGTAAAGGTCACTGTGTGTGTGTTGTATGGTTGTGTGCTATTGTTGGCACATTTTAATGTGCTGTGATGTGAGCACCTGCTGTATCTGGGGGCTTCTTCTTCTGTGCTTTCAGACCCTTTGTGCTCAAACTGGACTTCTCCTTCCCATCCTTCCCCTTGTGATCTTTTGGCTAAAGGAAGAACGAGAGATAAGATCATCACGTTCTGCATTTGGTCTACATGTCAACATTCTTCAAAACTAGGTAAAATATGTATATTTCCCTGAAACCGCTACCACTATGTAATTACAGTATTACTGCACAGAAACTTCATGATAAACATGTTTTCTGTGAGCAAGTTAACACATACAAAGTTTCTGCAGAGTTTGCGAGTTGTGATGAAATGCTTTGGTCCGTGGAGCTTTGTTGTCTTGTGACTGTGAGTGGTCTCCGGTGTATTAGGTTTGGGTTCACATTTAGTGGTTATCATCCCTTGAGTCCCTTTAGTGGCTTTAGTAGAGGTATTTTTCTGTTAAGGAGACAGACAACATGGCAATGCTAGTTGGACAGCGTGAATGGCATGCAACATGAGATGGATTATGACACTGTTAGGGAGGGTAAGGAGGAAGGTGAGGGGTGGTGAGGGAGGTAGGTTACAAATGAACATGAACATTTGACAGTATGAAAAATGAAAACACTTGTTACAATACATGAAATGAATAAAATGAATCACTGAAGGTGATGTTAAAGATGAAATAAACATTAAAGTGACCTTCAAAACATATAGCCTAGCCTGATCAGTTGTTTTATTCAGGTTAGCATCCTGGTACTGTATTTATACAAACTACAAAGCCAAACTTGTTTCAGTCAAAGCGTGATGTTGATTGTCCACAGCAGATGAATGGATAGGTTGGTACATATGTGCGAGGCTGTGAATGTATTGCTTATCACTTGTCACAGTGAGCGATGGAATGCAATATTGACCCTGAGCGGAGAAATTGCCCTCAACCAACCAAACAAGTCTTCTCAAACAGAATTCGAACCAGAGGGGCTACCCAGTACTATAGTAAACACTCCAATCCTTTTATGAGCAGGTCAACATCTTAAAAAACGTATCTCAAGGCGTGTTGTTGGTTGTGAGGTAAGCACTGCTCAGTAGTAAGGCAGAGGAGATATTTTGAGGATGGGGGTTTCCACAGTGACAGCAGTGTTTCTTCCTGAAGGACAAATCTAAGGATGGGGGGCCTTGGTACGATATGTGTGTGGTTTGTGTGGTGTGTGTATAGGGTGACCACAGTGACAGATGTCTGCGGTAGACAGTCATCTCACACCTTAGAGGTGAAGGGAGACAGCCGGAGGCTGGAGGCACCACCTGATGAGAGCTCTGACGACAACTAGAATTCCTGGTGATCTGAGTCATACAGTAGCCAATAGACAATCACAGAGGTATGTATGCCCTAACGTGTGGACTTACATGACCACTTAGTTGCTGTTTGAGTTCTAACCTCAAATCAAGCTGAAAATGTCAAGTCGGTATCGTAGTTTGCGGTTTTGTGCTAGAACTGTGTTGAAATGGAAAGATCCTTATCTAACCAAATAAGGGTCTGAATACATTACAATTATCAGATACAGATACACCAGTACCTATTCCTGCGCAGCAGGAAATGCGAACCTATAGTACATGCAAGGTTTAAAAAAAGGCCTCTAAAGTTTGTAATTTCCACTTTTAAATGTCAGACTCAACCCCTACAAAAATGTCCATTAATTATAATTTACATAATCATTCACATTCCTGTTGCTGCAGGATTATTTAACTGCTGTGAGAAACTGTTCAAATTGAGATATTTTATTTTACTGGCCCAGCCCTCCATCCCCAAGTAAGACCGATCACCTGAACACAGCATCTACCGGGTACAACCACTCCACCATTAAAAGCACACTGTCCTATACAGGTCAATCATCTCCTGCTTATTTTGAGCCACTCACATCTGAAGCAGTGCCAGCCTCTGTTCCAGCCTCTGTGCCAGCCTTAAATGTATCACGCAGTGTGAAGTGCAATCATTTACTAGACCCTTTAAATCAATGGCTGTTTGACACGGTTACCATGGCTGGATTGCTAATAAAGGGTTATGAATAGCTTTATCTGAAACACAGGAGGTAAATAATGTACATGGGGGATGCTCTGAATTGTAATGCATATATAGGTAACAGAACTCAATACTCATCACTGAAACCATAGTACGCCTACAGTATAACTACCCTGGGACCTCTCAACATGCCACCACAGGACTGAGAGAGTGAGACAGCAATAGAGAGAAAGACATACAGAAAACAAGAGAGGGAGAGACAGAGATAGAGAGAGTGACAGAGAGAAAGAGAGGGAGAGAGAGAGAGAGAGAGAGAGAGAGAGAGAGAGAGAGAGAGAGAGAGAGAGAGAGAGAGAGAGAGAGAGAGAGAGAGAGAGAGAGAGAGAGAGAGAGAGATGGCAATAGAAATAGAGACACAGAAAGTAAGGGAGGTAGAGAATGAGAAGGACAGGGAGGGAGAGAGAAAGATTGATAGACAAACTGACTAATCACAATCTGTTGACACCTAATTCCTTACTAGTCAGGGGCTTCAGGCCATTTTAGACCAAAAGCACACCGCAGCATGCAGGTGAACTCCAACAGCAGCATTACCAAACCTGGCCCCACGCATTCCAGCCCTGGCCCCACATTGGCCCTCTCATGCCGTCCAGGGGGTGCTTACCCTCATTATCCCAGATGCCTGTGGCCACATTATAGGCCAAGGAAGAATGTATAGGAGAATGTGGGGGACAATGTAGCGTAGAATGTAGGCTAATGTACAGTATGAGCAGGGCAATACATTTTATACTGTAGGTGGTGAAAAGTGGGGGCAAATTTGAGTCCTTTTGGTTGAGCATTGTAAACAGATACTGTTTTTCATACACCACTGTACTTGATCATGAGGTGGTGGAATGTTCCCCACCAATTTCAATACTGGGTATAAGTGAATGCACCAATTTGTAAGTCGCTCTGGATAAGAGCGTCTGCTAAATGACTTAAATGTAAATGTAAGTGTCAAGGCTTTGGCTCCTTCCATACAATATGGCCTGCTCTGCATGGCACTATACAAGCAGTGGAGATCGCTATGTCCCAAAGTCATATTGCTTTGACACATCTTCCATCACTTCATGAGGAAAAATAGCATGAGCCAAGCCACAATCCTTCCTTAGGAAACAGAACTCCACTTGACTAGTCAGCTTTGCTGCTCTGATCATTTTCCTCTGTAGTGCCAAAGTCATAAAACTAAACCAAATCATAAACCAAACATGGAAACATGGAGCACCTTATCTCCGAGCCTGAATAGAATGTGCACAACATTTTTTGAAGGACATGTAATTTGCAGGAGCATGGGGAAACAGTGAATCCAGCAATTCATCTAACCTACGTTGCCCATCACAACATCCATAACATCAATCCATTCTAAATTAAAACCTGAACACAAGTGTTTTATTATTAAATTCACATGAACGTAATCCAGAGCGTCGTTGAGTAAAGAGTTCATAAAGTGCCTTATTAAAGAACCCTTTATATAGTCTACATAGACCTGCACAAACACACCTCTTTGGTTAGTGCAGTTTGAGCTTCCAATCTCACCTTGTCGGTCTTCTTAGTAACTGAGCTCTCGCTCTTTTCTGCAGACGATTGCCTCTTAATGGCCACCTTGCCCTTACTGTCTTTGGACTTGGAGGCCTTGCGTGCTGCAGGACGCATAAACATCAGCTCCATAACCCGGGAGCTCTTCACCGTCTCCCCGATGAATCTGATGACCTGCTGGATGCTGAGGACCAGATTCTCCATCCCGTCCAGCTTCTCAGCCTGCTTCTCCGAGCGCTGGTCCAACGCCATCATGATGGAGCTCATCTCATGACACATCTCTCTCACCTCGCCCACCACACCTGTGCCCTGGGTCTGAGCCAGGGGTAGAGTTAGGGCTCTGGCAGGGATATGGATCTCCTCGTTGTCCACCTTCAGAGTCTCCATGTCCCTCTCGATACCGTCGATGTCCTGGGTTATTCCGTCCAGCCGATTGAGGACCTTCTCCTGGATATTGATCAGCCTGTCCATTTTACTGCTCAGAGACTCGATGCGATTCTGAATGTGGTCCAAGCCGGCACCAGTGCAGTCGTTTAGGTTATCCATCATGCTTGACTTTCCAGGGGTTGAGTTCACTATCTTGGAACTCATGATATAATCACGTTAGGACACCCAATCGAGACAGAAAAAAGGTCACCGAAAGGTTGATGACCAACGTCCGAGAGACAGAAGGGGCAACTTTTTTGAAAAACGCAGCCAGCCTTATCCCTATGTGTACCTCTTCAACTGTACAGACAAGCTAATTTAACGACGGATATGTGAATAAAATGAACATTTCGTAACAACAAAAAAAATGAAGAAAATCAAACGAACTAAATTGAAATCCATAAAGAGTAAAAACAGAAAAACAGGCAGTAACTTTTTCACTGTAATCCGTGGAAACACCTTTAGAGTTCTGACTTAACAGTCATCCAGTCGTGAGATTGTCCCTATGTCTCTCACCCACTGCTTGACACCTCTGCACTTTCCCTACTGGAAGTGGTATTAAGAATGGAATAAGCCTGTCTCCCTAAATGTAAACGGGATGGCCGACGTCAGCGGGGGACCGGCCAGGGGGGCGGGGGGCTGTGGGATTGGGGGCTGTGAGAGGCCGTGAGGGGCAGCAGTTTGGCACTGGAGGGGCTGTCAGACATCTGAGCGCCTTTACATGTTAAGCTCACCACAGGAGCCAGACTCTGGTCCACCTGCCAAGTGTCGAAATGGCCAGTGTACACAGTCCCTCTCTCTGAGGCAGAGTGGAAAGTTGTCTGGGGCGATGCTAGACACGTTTTTTTTTTTTTTTTTACTTTATTTCCATGTAAATGGTTAGACTTTTCAGTCTGACTTGGTGGTTTCACCATGATTAGGCTGAACAGGTGCTCACAGATGGAGAGGGCAAAAGAGGGGGGTGACTGACGTGTTTTATTTATAAGTGGTCAGGGACATTTTTAAGTCAACTCAAAATATCAAACAATCATGTCAAAAGTGCCACTCACACAGAACAGCTGTGTTTGCAAAAAGTGACGTTTTTAAATTAGATCCTTATTAATGACTGGCGTAGAAATTAACAGCTTCACAATGTTTACGAGAGGCTGGAAAAATAATGATTGTGATAACATCAGGGAAATACTTGCATGTGAGTATTGAGCATCAGTATGTAAGACAGTCATGTACAGTGCATTCGGAAAGTATTCAGACCCCTTGACTTTTTCCACATTTGTTACGTTACAGCCTTATTCTAAAATTGATTAAATTGTTTTTTTCCCCCTCATCAATCTACACACAATACCCCATAATGACAAAGCAAAAACAGGTTTTTAAATTTTTTGCCAATTTATAAGAAATAAATAACTGAAATATCACATTTACATAAGTATTCAGACCCTTTAACTCAGTACTTTGTTAAAGCACCTTTGGCAGCGATTACAGCATCGAGTCTTGGGTATGACGGTACAAGCTTGGCACACCTGTATTTGGGGAGTTTCTCCCATTCTTCTCTGCAGATCCTCTCAAGCCCTGTCAGGTTGGATGAGGAGCATCTCTGCACAGCTATTTCAGGTTTCTCCAGAGATGTTCAATCGGGTTCAAGTCTGGGCTCTGGCTGGGCCACTCAAGGACATTCAGAGATTTGTCCCGAAGCCACTCCTGCGTTGTCTTTGCTGTGTGCTTAGGGTCGTTGTCCTGTTGGAAGGTGAACCTTCGCCTCAGTCTGAGGTGCTGAGAGCTCTGGAGCAGGTTTTCATCAAGGATCTCTCGGGACTTTGCTCTGTTCATCTTTCCCTTGATCCTGACTAGTCTCCCAGTCCCTGCCACTGAAAAACATCCCCACAGCATGATGCTGCCACCACCATGCTTCATCGTAGGGATGGTGCCAGGTTTCCTCCAGACGTGACGCTTGGCATTCAGGCCAAAGAGTTCAATCTTGGTTTCATCAGACCAGAGAATCTTGTTTCTCATGGTCTGAGAGTCCTTCTGGAAGGTTCTCCCATCTTCACAGAGGAACTCTAGAGCTCTGTCAGAGTGACCATCGGGTTATTGGTCACCTCCCTGACCAAGGCCCTTCTCCCCCGATTGTTCAGTTTGGCCGGGCAGACAGATTTATTAAGGGTTTTGGTGGTTCCAAACTTCTTCCATTTAAGAATGATGGAGGCCACTGTGTTCTTGGCGACCTTCAATGCTGCATAAATCTTTTGGTACCCTTCCCCAGATCTGTGCCTCGACACAAGCCTGTCTTGGAGCTCTACGGACAATTCCTTCGACCTCATGGCTTGGTTTTTGCTCTGACATGCACTGTCAACTGTGGGACCTTATAGAGACAGGTGTGTGCCTTTCCAAATCATGTCCAATCAATTGAATTTACCACGGGTGGACTCCAATCAACTTGTAGAAACATCTCAAGGATGATCAATGGAAACAAGATGCACCTGAGCTCAATTTCAAGTCTCGTAGCAAAGGGTCTGAATACTTATGTAAATAAGGTATTTATGTTTTTAATTTTTAATACATTTGCAGACATTTCTAAAAACCTGTTTTCGCTTTGTCATTATGGGTTATTGTGTGTAGATTGATGAGGGGGAAAAATAAATGTAATTCATTTTAGAATAAGGCTGTAACGTAACAAAATGTGGAAAAAGTTCAGGGGTCTGAATACTTTCCGAATGCACTGTATATTGCTATGGAAAGCTCTTTGCTGGCTGCGAAACGGCTATAATTAGCGCCCACCCAGTGAGGGAGCAAGAAACACGTTCAGATTGTAGCCTGTAGTCCCCTGGCTGAGAAAGAGCTTAAGGTCTTTAGCCTCTGTTCTTAAATAGGAGAAGGGCGACAGCCATGATAATACTGTGTCTCTCCTCTGGCTAACACATCAAGTCAGATCCTTCCCACACCATCACACACGCTTAGCCTACTCATACACAGTTAAGACAGTTAATGATACATTTTAACTTAGGGCCTGGTAATTGGACCCCTCAACAGTGTACCCTATAAACCTATCAAAACATGCTTGATGAAGTGGTCCATCTGGGACATACAGTATGTACTTTGCATCAACGGAAAGAAAGTGTAAAAACAGACACATGCACGTCATCAATACAAAGTTACAAACACTGCTTATTGCCCCTGAAAAAGGGAACAGGATAATTTAGTTTGGCCTAGATGTTTGCAGAAAAGGGTTTTCCACAGCCTTTTTGGATACATTTTGTAATGTACTGCATACAGAATATGTCAGCATACAAAACCGTCATAAACTATCATACAAAGGTCTACATTTAACCTTTTACTGCATTGGGCTAAATCAGGGTCACACAGAGTATATATTTTTTATTTTTACGTTTTTTTTTTTTAGGGGGTATATCAGCTTTAATATTGCAGATAGATTGTAGCTTCCATCAATGTACTGTACATTGTAGGGACACAATCTATTTTACAATAGTTCTCTTTTGTTTGTTTTGACTCCTAGCCTTCCGCTGCCCTCAACCCCTCCCATCTATTTCTTAACACCATCCATATTGGATTTCTACTTGCCATATATTTTTCAACTGTGCTGTGATGTTTTACAAAAGTTCTGAACCTTTCTATTCTCATAGTTTCTACAGATTGTAAATTAAAGAGTATTATTAAAAGTACTATTATATTATTGATCGATTGACTATGACTTTTCAAATCACCCAGTAGTGCTATCTGCAGAGTTAGTTCCAGGTAAATGTTGCAATTCTTCAGCCATTCCTGGTCCTGTGACCAAAAACAAGTTACATATGGACAGTAGCAAAACAAATGATCTAATGATTCTGTGCTTCTTTGTAGTCTTAAACAAATCTACTTTGAAACAAAAGTATACACCTCACACACATGGTTATGGTCTTAAAAAAAGAAGACACCTGTACCATGTCAGATATAGAGTTGAAATGTATTCCATTTTGAGTTTGCATCCCAATATTACACTATATATACATCACAGAAGACTGAAATATAACAAAAAAGCTTGACATACACTACCGGTCAAAAGTTTTAGAACACCTACTCTTTCAAGGGTTTTTCTTTAGTTTTCCTATTTTCTACATTGTAGAATAATAGTGAAGACATCAAAACTATGAAATTACACATATGGAATCATGTAGTAACCAAAAAAGTGCTAAACAAATCAAAATATATTTGAGATTTGAGATTCTTCAAATAGCCAATAGTGTGCAAAGCTGTCATCAAGGCAAAGGGTGGCTATTTGAAGAATCTCAAATATAAAATATATTTTGATTTGTTTAATACTTTTTTGGTTACTACATGATTCCATATGCTTTATTTCATAGTTTTGATGTCTTCGCTATTATTCTACAATGTAGAAAATGGTAAAAATAAAGAAAAACCCTCGAATGAGTAGGTGTTCTAAAACTTTTGACCGGTAGTGTAGAAACACAGGATTTTCAGATGTATTCATTTTAAATAATGTTGATTAATTATGAAAAATATTAAAAGCATTCCATCCATGAGGCCACTAGAGGGCGATTTGGTCATTTGACTGCAGGAAAGGGCTACAGGGAAAAAATACTTGGTTTATCTATTGATAAAAAAATCCCGCTATGCCCTCCGACGAACCATCAAACAGGCAAAGAGTCAATACAGGTATAAGATTGAATCGTACTACACCGGCTCTGACGCTCGTCGGATGTGGCAGGGCTTGAAAACTATTACAGACTATGAAGGGAAGCACAGCCGAGAGCTGCCCAGTGACACAAGCCTACCAGATGAGCTAAACCACTTCTATGCTTGCTTCGAAGCAAGCAACACTGAAGCATGCATGAGAGCACCAGCTGTTCCGGATGACTATGTGATCACGCTCTCCGTAGCCGATGTGAGTAAGACTTTTAAGCAGGTCAACATTCACAAGGCCGCAGGGCCAGACGGATTACCAGGACGTGTACTCCGAGCATGTGCTGACCAACTGGCAAGTGTCTTCACTGACATTTTCAACATGTCCTTGACTGAGTCTGTAATACCAACATGTTTCAAGCAGACCACCATAGTCCCCGTGGCCAAGGACACTAAGATAACCTGCCTAAATGACTACCGACCCGTAGCACTAACGTCTGTAGCCATGAAGTGCTTTGAAAGGCTGGTCATGGCTCACATCAACACCATTATCCCAGAAACCCTAGACCCACTCCAATTTGCATACCACCCCAACAGATCCACAGATTAAGTGGAACAGGTTGAGAGCGTCAAGTTCCTTGGTGTCCACATCACCAACGAACTATCATGGTCCAAACACACCAAGACAGTCGTGAAGAGGGCACGACAAAGCCTATTCCCCCTCAGGAGACTGAAAAGATTTGGCATGGGTCCTCAGATCCTCAAAAATGTCTACAGCTGCACCATCGAGAGCATCCTGACTGGTTGCATCACCGCCTGGTATGGCAACTGCTCAGCCTCCGACCGCAAGGCACTACAGAGGGTAGTGCGTACAGCCCAGTACATCACTGGGGCCAAGCTTCCTGCCATCCAGGACCT